AATATTTTGAGAACACGTCTTGAGCATCTTCTTATTTTCATAGGGCTATTGTCAGAGTCCTCCTGCCCTTACTTCTGTCTTCTTTCTCTGAAATCATACACCATTTTGCTTGCTCCCGCACCCACACCCACTTCCTCCCCACAGTCCTCCCCCGTTCCAGAGGTAGCAAAGTCACTCGATTTTGTTTCTTCATCTTTGAGTTCTGCTTCTGGCCCTAGCTGTCATCTCAAAAATTCCTTTGCTTTAGAGTCAATCTTCTCTCTTTTATCATTAATTTTAAAGATGACACCTTCAGGGATCGCCCAGCGATATTGTATTCCATTTGTCTGAAGAAATGAGATTAATTCTTTGTAGCTTTTCCTCTTTTGACGGATTTCGAATGGGATGTCTTTTAAAGTCTTAATATTTGTATTCCCAAATTTCAGTGGATTTGCCGAAGTTGCCTTTAATATAACATCTCTGGTCTGTCTTCTTGCAAACTTGACTACAATCTCCCCAGGCAGGCTATTTTTTTTAATGTAATTAGAGTATACCCGATAGGCAGACTCTATATCTTTTATTATTTCATCCGCTGATAAGCCTGTTACTGGAGCGATGATCTCTCCCAGAGTCTTTTTCAAATCTTCTTTTTCCTTTTCAGGCAGTCCCTGAAATCTGAGAGTCATGTTTGCTTTCTCCATTTGCAGCTGAAGTAAACGGTTTTCCTGCAGCTTTTGTTTTATTTCCACCTCTGTCACTCTTTTCCTCATCTTCTTGTTCCCGGTGTCCATCTCTACCTTCCGATCTTGGACTCTGGCTGCCTTTCGGTTTTATTTTCCCTCGCGGAACCGCCATGTTCTCTCTTTGTTTACAATTCAACACCTCAGTTTCAGAGCTCGAAAGACTCGCCATGTCTCTATCCAAGCTCAAGTAAGTCTCTCAAAATGTAACGCTGTTTCTCTCCCCTCTTCCCCCCTTCGCTTCTTTGATCTATTCAATCGCTCAGGAGGCGTACCTCCCTGCACTCCGCTTTCTCCACAGAAGGTTGGGCCTTCACTTTACAAAAACAGTCCGTTTATCTCTCACTCACGTTCATTGTTGGTCACTTCTGACCTCGCTCTCTTCCATCGCTATTCCGCTTGATCTCCTGTGCTTGTCCCGGTCAGATTGGCTTACATCCATAGGTCACTCATCGGCTGGACCATCAGGGCGGAGGGAAGCCTCTATTCCACAGCTTCCAGCCATCAAAGAGGCTAACCCTCAAAAGCCCTCTGGCTTGGAACCCACCGCAAGGGTTCTGTGAGAGTGCCACTTGAGGTGGCACCCCTCCAAGCCGAAGGTGTGCTAGTCGCCTCCTCGAGCTTCGAGGAGAGCGACCCCCATCGCCAATCCACCCACCGGAAGCTCGTGCATTCACCTTGTTGAAACACGAGAGCTATATACTGTCTTTCTTAAAACAAAATGAGAACTAGGCTCCTCAAATTTCTAACATGTGAGCTTGAGGTTTGGGACTCAATCCTGAACGCAGCTAGAAATTCAGACAACTTTCCAAGTCGAATCTAAGATTTTAGCATCATGTGAGAAGATTATTGTCAGATCAGCCATGGTGGCCCTGTGTCACCCTTTCAGAGTGCTCAAACAGATGTTATGAGAGATAACACCTATTGCTCTCTTCCTCCGGATTCTCCACAACACCCTCTAAGTAGAAGATGATCCATAAATTGAGTATGGTGAACATTCAAGGGTCTTTTCTGCCCTTCTGGGACTGCAAACTCTGGGTGAAGGGCCACAGAGTGACTGAAGTGGATTTAGACTGCATAGGATTATATTATCAGTAACCTGATGGGTCACAATAAATGCAGAGCTTCTTTAAAGTAAACCTTTCCCACTTTAAATAGTCTCTTCCCTCTTCAAATTTGGGAGAAAGAGATAAGACATTAACCATCTCATCCTTAAATTAATTAAGACCAGAGTTCTGAAGGCACAAGGTGAACCAAGGTCCTTCTGTAACAATAATCTTCAGGCAACATGGGAAAGCCAATACCCATATTCACAAACAAGTTTGATTTAATTTTTCTTATTCAAGCTCCTGCTTCCAAAAAAATGAACACTTTCAATGCAAGAGTAGCTCTGTTGCCTATTGAACACACACTTTTTAAAAGAACAATTTGCCAGTTCTGTTCTTTTGTATACAGATGATTTACATTTACAACAAAGTATAGGCCCTATGAGTATAAATTTAAAAGCGTAAGTGGAACTGGCATGCATTGTGCTAGCAAAAGCAAATGAGAGCTTTCTGGACCACGAGAGAGGTTGCTGGATTTGTCCCTTGGAAATTCAAGGCCACTTCAGACATTATGTTTTGTGCTCAAGAAGAGATGCATGAATCCAAATGCTCATTAATAGCCTCACTTATTAATGCCAGGCGTGTATAGACATGCAGCTTTTGCCAGTACAATGCACCTGCGTAGGCCCAAAACAGATGGGGACATTCTTGGCAAGAATTTTGCCAGCCAAAGTCATAACTGAAACACATGTATGCTGTTAATAAATGATGCTGCTCAATTGTGGTTTCATACCCAATAATCTGTTCTAGTGTGCAGCTCAACAACTAAAATAGGAAGCAACCTCAAATGTGTAGCAAAACTGCTGGTCTATCTTCCCATCCACCAGATTAGTGATTTTCCTTAAAACTCATTGCTGAAATGAAAATAGCTTTTGAAAGGCATCATAAGATATTAAGAAGTTAAATCTTCTGCATCTCCCCGTGAAGCTGTTTGCAGGTTATTATTGTCAGTACTGTTAAGTGTTGAGGAAGACAAAGAAAAACCCAGAGATTGATTTTTCAAACTATCAAAATGCACGTCATCATGATGGCGAGGCAAGAAGAGCACCTGTGTACTGTGTGACGGGTATACCCAACACATGCACACACCCCTACCTCACAGCTCCCTCTCCATGGGGCAGGTTCTATCCCTTCCTCAGCAATATTACCTCCTGAGGTTCACTGTCCCATCGAACTTAAAACGGGGGCCATTAACAACCAAGCTTATTCCTGTTTGAATCATTGACCTGTATTCCAGTCAAGGCAGAATGTGACGATGATAGAGTGCTGGCTACTGACCAATACAAACATAAAATACTAGAGGTGTGTAGGGACATTATTATGACCCATCTGTGGGGTAAAGAGAGAGACAGAGCCTGAGCCAGACTGATGTCGCTTCCCCCCCCCCCCCCGGTCACTACCATATAGTGTCCTCTTCCTTTATGCCACCAGTTTACATTCTCCCCCAGATCATTTCTCTCATTTGTTTACTGACCACCCACTATTTCCTTAGCAGTCCAGTTTTTCATCCACCTTCCTACTATATCCTACCTCATTGAGCCATCTTAACTGCTGATCAGTGTTCCATTTGGCTGTTTCTTTACCCCCGTTATTTTTAAGATCATCTATGGGACATGAAACTGCTTGTTCAATGGCCTAATGCCCAGGTTTTTGCACACCCATCTCCTTCTCAACATCCTCTACTTTTTTTTTCTCATCTCTGCTTTCCTTTTATCGTGCCCTTACATACATGGTTACTGAAACTAAAACTCCGGTGAGACTAGCCTTCACTTTGGATAAGCCATGTTGATGTGTCATCAACAAGTTTTATTTCTGTGGGTTTGATAACTCTTGGTTTAGTAATATTTCCTATTAATTTACCTGGGATAACAGTTAGGCCAAAAAGCCTGTAATCTCCTAAATTCAACCTGGATATCTTTTTGAAAAATTGATGCTATAATGGCTATTCTCCAAACTTCAGATGATTTTAGTGGTTGATATTTCTTGTTAAAAATTCACCAATTTCATATTTGAGTTCTTTAAGAACTCTCAGGTGATTGCCATCCGGTTAATTTTTAATTTGTCAATTAGACGTAAGAAGTTATCACAGCTCTGTTGGATACACTTATGCAGATGCTCACCCTGGAAACTATGATTCAGATGTGGGTGTCTCTACATCTTCCACAGTGAAAACCAATGCTCACAGTTAGTTTAGGCTGCTTTTCTTCTTTCCCTTCCTTCATTTTACTAATATCATTTAAATATCCAATCACCTACAGGTTTCCTGATGCAGGCATATTTAAAGAAACTCCTTGACCCTCTTATTTAACATCCTCTTGGGCTTCTTTTTTTTATACATTTCCTATTTTGTGACATACATTTTACTGTCATAGTGACTAGGTAAAGGTAAAGGTAAAAGTTCCCTTGCTCGAAAGCCAGACGAGTCTGACTCTAGAGTTGTGGTGCTCATCTCCGTTTCAAAGCCGAAGAGCCAGCGCTGTCCGAAGACGTTTCCGTGGTCATGTGGCCGGCATGCCTAAACACCAAGGCGCACGGAACGCTGTTACCTTCCCACCAAAGTGGTACCTATTTATCTACTTGCAATGTCTTGCTTTCGAACTGCTAGGTTGGCAGGAGCTGGAACTAGAGGCGGGAGCTCACTCCGTCATGCGGCAACCCGGGTCTTGAACTGCTGAACTACCGACCTTCCACAGCCTGCAGTTCAGCATCTTAACCACTTGAGCCACCGCAGCTCCGTCATAGTGACTACAAACATGTTAAACTTCTTGAAGGGGTCCTCCTCTCCTCTTTTTAGATAACCCAGTCTGTTCTGAGGAATTCTTCATTTTGTAACCGTGACTGCATTCAGTTTCCTGCGTGATTTCTCTCTCCTTCCCTCCCTCCCGTTGGCTGAATTTGTTCATATTGTGGTCACCATTACCAGGAGGTTCAGCATTGCTCATGATTCAGCCTAGAGCCCGAACACCATTCAGCTGTCAATCAGGGACTGCCTCCCCTCCTACCAGTTCCATGACCAACTGCCCAAAGGCCCAATCATTTATCATATCTAGAAATCCAGTCTCTTTGTCATGATCTGATTATACATTCAGCCAGTTAATGTAAGTAACAATAGCTTCTAATGCGAAAAGAACTTAGAAAGTAAAAAGAAAAACCCAAAATTATAATATTTTCTCACCTTTACTGTTTGGTATTGATAAATGGAATCAGTGTCGATGAAATATGGAGATCCCTCCCCCCCTCTTTTTTGGAATGTCTGAGGCATATGGTTCTATGAAAAAATAATAATAATAATAATAGTATTGAGTTAACTAATTCAAATAGTAAACTGATCGTACTGAGACAAGTCATTAATAACCACATTTTGTTAACTAAAAAAAAGAGTACAGTTTGCTGACCCTTTAGAACAAGAATTGATGAGAAATCATAACTGTAAATAAAACAATACAACCTTTCCCGCCATACAAATATAAACCACAATTAATTGGGGAAATGGGGGATGGGCAAAGTAGACGAGGATGGGTCCATGTCAAGGCACAATTCTGCTCTAGAAATCCACCAAAGGTGTGGAAGTTTAGAATAACTGAACAGGTTCGGAATCTGTCCATTTCCCTCCTAGACTGTTTTTCTTTTTTTTTCTTCATTCCCTTTTCATCATCTTTTTAGAAAGAAATAAATCTGATTGTAATACTTTGAAGTCTAAGGATATCTCTTGGTAAATTGCTACTGCTGCTTTCATATTCTGTATACTTTGCTTGTGAGTCATTTTCTAAACTACGTTTGGATTTTTTAGTTGAAACTCACAAGATCATAGATTGGATACAAAGCTTTTCTGCTGGTGAGAAATAAAGGAAAGATCCCATTTGCTCACCCTACAACAGTATGCTGGGGATCATGAGACTTATTTTGACAGAAGCCATGCAGGACAGGGACTGGGGAACTGTAAGGAAAGGAATTCTGCAGGTCAGTGAGAAGGCTGGCTAGATCCAACCCAAACAATCCAACCCAACCAACAGTCAATGTTTTATACCTGTAAGGTTTTATGGGATCAAATTATACAATTTTGTACAGGGAAACTTGTATGTTTAACTGTTTTACAGCATTGTCCTATGGTCAAGATTTCATCAAATATACTCACTGTGATTTTACTTGTAAGCTTAAAAGCAATGCCATGGTTGTCCCTTGGGTAACTTTGGCAGTGTTTTCACAATGAGCATCATTATTTCAGAATGCATTCGATCACATGTTCTTAAACCCCTTCCTTTTATTCTTCTAGCTTGCTTCACATTATGTTTTGATGACAATTTATATACAACCTGAAGGCACCTACAGGACATGGAACTGCTTGTTCATGGTTACTCTTGACTCTGAAAGCCCGTTGTTCAGAGCTTTGCATGAAGAAGGCCCCAGTTTTAAGCCCTGGCACTTCCAGTTCTAGGACTCCAGGTAGTTAGGATGGGAAAAGACCCTGCCTGAGACATCACAGAGCTGCTGTCAGTCAAAGCAGAAAATACTAGGGTAGATGGGCCAATAGTCTGACTCAGTATAAGGCTACTTTGTATATGGTTGACCTCTGGACATTTTAGATGTGGGAGGTTTCATTTTAGTTACTAGATGACTTCCATTCAACTCAAGTTTCTAAATCCTCTCTTTGAGCAGCCAATGTGATGTACTCTTATGTCCATAATTTAAGGAGTTTCAGAAAAGCAACGCTTTATTTAATTTATTACCATTCAGTCTGTCTTGCAACCATGCTGCAGATTTCTACAGAGAGGATCCCTTAAGGAAAAAATATGATTTCATTTACGGGTCCTGCCAAAACTAATCTGTTGGTCCTGCATGTCAAATTCAAACTAAACTCAGGGGATTTGAACAGGGTTTTGCAAAGTTGCCTCTTTAGTTGTCTACAAAAACAGCAATCCTGCCAACCTTTGGGTATTTACTGCTGGGAAATGATACATTTACAGCCTGTCCCCCAAACCAGATATAGACAGGGCACTTAATTTAGAGCAAATCAGTTCAACATAATAAAAGTGGATATGAATTCAAATAATTGGGCTAAACTGGCCTGAAGATGAGAGTTTTGGGCTGCTACATGCTACTTTTAATAGACCAGGGCTGTAATCCTACATCTACTTAACAGGCAGTAAGCCCTTATTGGACTGACTTACAAGTAAGCAAGTTTAGGCTTTGCCTGCTAAGACAACGTTGTACAGACTTCTCTAAGATATCAGACAACTAAAATAACATTATAATATGGCATTAAGGCCCCTGTCCAAGTGCACTGACTCATGATAGCTTATACTTGAATACATTTTGTTAGAGTTTAAGGGGTTCCTGTTTTATTTTGCTGTTACAGACTAACATAGCTACCCAACTGGAACTATCCAAGACAGGAGATGAAACAGGAGAAAAGGAAGGGGCCCTTAAATCAGTGGCAGCGTACATGATCTGCTGGTCATAGATTTAATTAATCCCCAGCATCTCCAGTCAAAGTTTCCCAAGCACCAAAGTGGGGTTAGACTTCTCTGTCTGAGACCCCGGAGAGACACACCTCGTCAGTGTATACGATATTGGGATAGATGGACAGACTTCACATAGTCACTTCTAATTAAGCCCTGTATTGCAGCCGTGACACTTCTTACTTGACAAATGGCTCTTTGGAAAGCAGCCAAAGAACTAGGCTGTGCCTCCCCCTCTATTGTCGCCCTCACTATTGTTTCTTTTTTGCTGTTTCTGGACTGATTGACCTTCCCTTGTTGTTACTGCAAGTGCCGCAGTTGTTTCTAGTCAGGGAAACACAGCTCGCTATTAAGGGTTGCGGGGCTCTCAGCCAGAATTCCGCATTTCACTAACTAGAAGCATTTGGTGGGGGAGTCAGGAGGTAGGCAAGGGGAATACACTGATGATGGTGGAGAGGGTGGGGGTGGGAGTGGGGAGCATATGTAAGAGGAAGGAGAAGCAATGTCCCTTCCCTCCATAGGGTTTTGAAAGGAAGCTGAGTGGCAAATGGGAGGGAGGGGGGAATGTAGCTCCTCTTGCCTTGACGAGGGTATGGACCAGGTGCGAGGCACTGGGGTTAACTGCAATTGGAGCTGGGAGCTGCAGCTCTCTCTTTAGCACAGCAGCCAACCTATGTAGCAGCATGGACTCCAAAGTATAATCTGGCACAAGCAGGACTTTCAGCTGGATATGGGGAAGAGTACATCTTTAAATGTAATCTCACCCCCTTGAGGCAAAACAGTAACCCCAGCACAGACAACAGCTGTATGAGGACGCTGGGCCACCCCCACGCCCCCCACGACTGTGCATTCGCCTAGTTGTCTGGAGGGGCAACCACACAGAGGAAATGGCCACGTAAACTCTCCCTCCCTGTGATCAGTGACATTTTGGAAAGTAGTGTCACTGATCATAAGGCGAGGCGTAAATGCAGCCGCTTCCCACCCTGATGATGATATGGCAATCACATGAAGGGGGGGTGGAGCCAGCGCATCTGCTCTACCCCCCCCCCTGGCATGTTCAGTGAATGTGTGGGGCTGCTTTCTGCATTGCTAAATTATTACTCTGCATGATGAGACTCAGCATGATGCACCATGTCGAAGTCTCCGCTGGCTGTTCTGTTTAACAACTTATGTATCTATAACAAATCCACAGAAGTGCCACTGTTACTGAAAACGAGGGGCCGTGCAACCAGGACGCAAGTGAAGGACTGTCAACCGGCACTCACCACTGGTTGTAATTGGGCACCAGGCATCATGGCATTGGCTAGTTGCATTTGCTGGGCCAGCATGGCCATGTTCTTCTGCTGAATCAGGTTATTGCGTCCATTGATCTCCAACTGTGTTTTTAAGTGCGGTGGTGGGTGAAGATATTTGCAGTTCTCCCTTGAGCATCGACCCTGGAAACAGCAAAGCAAAACAGGAACAGTGAGCCTTGTTTGGTACTAGTATGTTTCATAATGGCACCAGACCAGAACTTCATTCTAAATGAGGTATCCGTCCATTTCAGATGGATTTTTATTTTTTTAAAATTTATTTATTTATTTTATTAACAAATTTATACCCCGCCCTCCCAGCCAGAGCTGGCTCAGGGCGACTTACAGAAAGAATAAAACACACAATAGACAGTTTAAATAATCCTAAAACCATATAAAACATTCTAACATTAAAAGGTGCTGACACTGATGATACTAATAAATAAAGAAATGTTAAACAATTTTAAAACATGGTGGCCAACCTTCAGTATACCATCCTAGCGGTCAGCCCATAGATCTAACCTTATGCAGCTGGCACAGGCTGTTCTGATGGCTTCAGAGGACAGGGTTCTCTATCAAGGCGGCTCCTCCTAACTGAAGGCCTGGCGGAAGAGCTCCGTCTTGCAGGCCCTGCGGAACTGCATAAGGGCCCACAGGACCCTGATCTCTTCCTCCAGCATTTCACACAGGAAAACAGGGACACCACTTTGAGACCCCCTATTCTCAGACTAAGGATCACAGCTGGAGGCTGCTTCCTCTCTTCATTCTGCATTGCTGAAGTTTATCATCCACCAGCTGTGCCCATTTATTTTGTATTACCTTGTCCTGCACTGATTTAGAAGTGTTTGTTTTTCTGGTTAAATATATACTAGGAAAAAAAACTATACTATCAAGAGTGGAAAATGTAATTCAGCAGATATAGCGTAAGAATATGTTTGATTGCATGCTCCAGGATGTCTTCATGTTCATGCACAAACATTACATGAATGAGCACAAGACATAAAATGCATCAACGTACATTTACTCAGAAGTCAGTCCATAATACTCAAGGGGCCTTTTCCCAGATAACTTGCACAGATTCCATTCTTAGCTTGCATTGCTTCCCTGTAGGTCCATACATCTAGTTGCCAGATCATCAACAACCTCCATCAACCTTCCTAGCAACCATCTATTCTTGGCCATCTTTCATAAAACAAAGACACATCTTCCCTTTCCCAAATTCTCAGTGAAATCAAAAAGAAGATAGGGAGAAAAATGACTCTTCACTGTGTGCCAAGTGGGAATCACAGACCCTTTGTTAAAGCAACAAAAATCTGCCAACAAATATCTCCACACAGATGATCCCTTCCCATCCCCAACGTTCTTTGCACTTTCCAAATCCTCTGGAATTCAGAGGAGGAAAGGGGAGATGTTCTTGTTCCTTCTGAGGAGCTCCAAAGCCTGGCCAAATTGAGAAAGACTGATCTCTCTGAGCCAATGAATTCTAGGCATGTCCCAGATAATTTGGAGGATTCGAGGGGAAGTGGGGAGTGACAACTACAAATCCTGGCTAGCAAAGCAGGCCATGCAAAATCTGTGGATCTCTGGTTAGAATACAGCCCAGTGCCTTTCTTTGCTTTCTATTTAGGTATTTCGCACCAAAATATGCGTTTGTGTGTGTGTGGGGGGGAGGGATCTTGATAAAATATGTGCACGAGTGATTATCCTTATCTTTAGAGCAGACAGATGGGACCTGTGCAGGCTGGCTGAGTTCCAGGCCCTCTTTAACTTGTGAGGATTAGCTATGTTGAATGAGCACATCTGGTCCCTGAAGCACACCCTACTTAGCTGCCCCCTAATCTTGAAAACCAGTAATTAATCAATGAAATAAATGTTTTCAATGATCACAGTTAAATGTGCAACAATGGAGACCATTCTCCCAGGGGTATACAAAGAACATAAGAGATAAAGAGACACAAATTTTCCCTTGGCAGAACACATTAGTAAATCCAATTCTCTTTTCCTTTATAATCAATCTGAGAAGCAGTCATGGTGGTGAAAACCAAAACCTTAATAATCAAAGGGTTGCTTTAGATCAAGTGCTGCTTTGTTTTTTGTGCAAGGAATAAATTATTTCCATCCAATATGACCTTATACTGTACTTTTGCAAGAAAGCTAGAGGCTTACGATTGTTCAGCATCTGCCAGTGAGCCAACTTGAAGCACTTTTGCTTCTCAGTAAAACTGTTTATTTCTATCCATCTGTCTCCATTCTTGTCAGCCAAACACATATGACTCTCATTTTTGCAGTTAGCCAATTGGCATTTGCCTAACACAGGAGGCCTGATAATGGGATTTTACATAATTCTCCAGATCTCATTTGGGTTCAGTCACAACGAAGGAGCAGTCAATCAAACACACTAACTGATGTGCTTTTCAAAACACATGCTTGCAATAAGGATATTAAATGAAACAGAAGTAACGGGGCAGATGCATATCACAGTAGGAAACAAAGGGTGTCTACTGCATAATAGAACAGAGATGGCTGATAAGAAATATAGATAGATGGGATTACTATTTAGACTTAAGTAGAAATAACACTGTAATTGAATCATCAGGTGAATCAAATATTTAAGATTTGCACAGTTCTGAATCAGAGCTAAATAATAAAGGATTCTTTGATGCAAGCCATGACAATTAAAATGGTATAAAATCCATATGAATTTGTATAGACCATAAATATGGTTGTACACAGGAAGGACCAATCGATGGCTGTCTAATAGAGGGATACTGGACCACCACATTTCCTAAATGCAAAGCTCCTTAAATTGATGCTTGCTTGTGATGATGTGTACCTGTGAACTAGAAGTCTGTGAGCTTGAAGAATATGCAGTGGGTTGGATACTGTTACTAGAGTTCTGGTCGTGGAATGGAACTCCTGAAATGCTGCTTCTAGGGGGACACACATGAATAACATTGGGGTGAATATCTAAAGTGGAAGGGGAGAATTGTCAAAAATGGATCCTTTCTCCTCTCCTGAACTACGTACCCAATTTCTAGAAGAAGAAGTAGTAGTACTAGTAGTAGTAGTGGAGGACGAGGAAGAATAAGAGGAAGAAGAGAAGGAGATTGGATTTATACCCCACCCTTCACTACCAAAAGGAGTCTCAGACCAGGTTACAATCGTTTTTCCCTTCCCCACCCCACAACAGACATCCTGTGAGGTAGGTGGGACTGAGAGAGCTCTCTCAAGAACTGCTCATGAGAGAACAGCTCTGAGAGCCATGACTGACCCAAGGTCACACCAGCAGCTGCATGTTGAGGAGTGGGGAATCAAACCAGATTCTTCCAGATTAGAGTCCACGTTCCTAACCACTACACCAAACTGGCTCTCAGTTCTACAAAGCCACCACAGTCATACAGTCGCTGTCATTAATATATTTGGTTGTGTCTTCTCCTGGTTCATATGTTAACTCCTCTACAGGAACACAAGGCAGCTACTGAATCTGGACTGAGAAAGGCAACGGAGAAGGAGTATGGTTTGCTACAGCAGTGGAAGGATGAGTCATATAGCGTGACACTGTGATAGATTTGGGGAGCAAGGAATTAAGTCTACATAACAGCAGGCATCAGCTCCACTCCCTTCTAATTTTGATGATCAGCAAGGGAGTCAACCACCCATCCTCCCTTTATTTCAGAGTAGGGGCAAGCTGGTCTCCCATTTTTGGCCTGAGCAGGAATTTTTCCCCCTCTGGCAGATTAGCCACCAGCTTGGATGGGGGGTTTTGCCTACTGAGAGAGCCAGTTTGGTGTAGTGGTTAAGTGCGTGGACTCTAATCTGGGAGAACCGGGTTTGATTCCCCACTCCTCCACTTGCACCTGCTGGATGACCTTGGGCAAGCCTTAGTTCTGATAAGAGCTGTTCTTGAAAAAGAGCAGTTTCTGTCAAGAGCTCTCTCAGCCCCACCTACCTCACAAGGTGTCTGTTATGGGGAGGGGAAGGGAAAGGAGTTTGTAAGCTGCTCTGAGACACCTTTGGGTAGTGAAGGACAGGGTATAAATCCAATCTCTTCTCTTCTTCTTTTTCTAAAATATGAGGATATCAATGTGGTGAAAGTGTGTGTGTGTATATATCCACTTATATATAATTGTGAAGTGGGGTGGCACTTTCTGAACATTCCACACGTTCCTAAATCAGTTAGCTCTATGATGTGTCACTCAGAAGCTGTCCCTATCCACTGGCTGCATTGCCTGAGTCCTGCCTCCAACATTCCAAACAGTTTGCTGTTCCTTTCCCCCGCAATAGCCAGTCGAACACAGAGGTGGTTTGCATATGCGGCCTGATTGGCCTTTGCCTCTAACATTCTAAACAGTTTGCTGTTGCTGTTGGGAGTCATTGAATGTGTCCTGAGGTAAAATACATATCCCAATCTGGAGAAAATGGCTGTTTTGGCCAGTGGACTCTGACATTATACCCTGCTGAGGTCCCTCCCCACCCCTTCACTCCCCAGGCTCTACCCCTCAAATCTACAGGTATTTCCCAACCCAGAGTTGGCAACTGTGTAATCTGCTTTCCAGACCCTTGGAACTCAGAAGACATGGCATAGGAGGAGGCGCTTTTCTACCTTAGCTGCCACTGCATAACCCCAAATCAATATAAGTCAGGGGTGGAGGAAACCATACCTGTTACCATGAGGCTGTCCTCCCATACTACCCACTTGGGGCAGCAAAATGACTTGAGACAGCCCTGCCTTATAGCTAAGCAGAAGGAAATAAACATGACTTGCCTCCCTCTATTTTCCCCTTCCCTTTGCCGCTCCACCAGCCACAGCCGGGACACTCACCTGGAGCTTCCTTCTAGAGCTCCTTGTATTTCTCCCCACAACGAGCCTTATCCCTACTATGTGTGTGTGTGTGTGTGTGTGTGTGTGTGTGTATGATATTACCTGTCCTTAGAAACAAAAAAGTTTTTCTTGCCACTTCAAATCACACAAACACACATAAATTTATATGAGATGCATTTTCATGCATTCTTAGTAACAATTACTCTGGTCATTTTTTTAAAAAAGTGCATTTAAATCAATGATTATCTCTAGCAGAGAACAAATCTTTGTAACATCTACTGTGGCACAAAATCTGTATAATTCTTGTACTCTACCTCCCCAA